CCAATGAGTGTAGCATAAAACTCTTCTACGAAAGCGACTTGCGGCTGCTGCAGCAGCAACAAGCTCTTGGTGTGAAACGCTAACTTACGTCGAGTACAAGCCCTTGAGGGCCAGCAGCTCGTCGTGCGTGCCGAGCTCCTGCACGCCCCCGCCGTTGAGCACGGCGATCTTGTCGGAGTTGCGGATCGTGGTCAGGCGGTGAGCCACGGTAAGGGTCGTCCGCTTCTGCTTCGCCTGCAGCTGGTCAAGGGCCTCTTGTACCTGGGTGCAAGTCAGAAAAAAGATCGACGTTCCCAACACGGCGGAAATAGAACTCGGAGAATTAGCAGGTGGCATGATTGATGGGTGGTGGTTGAAGAACACGACAACTTACGCTGTTTCATTTTGTAGTGCTGGTGATGGAGCCAACTCCGGTTTTGTTTTGTTGACTAGTTGACGCTGGCAAAGGAAGGTGTGCTTCCTTCAACCATAGGATACCACTTTCCTTGCTCTTTCACTGAATGACTGGCTCGCCACACTCACCCTCACTGACCGACTCACCAAGTTCTCTCTCTCTCTCTCTCTCTCTCTCTCTCTCTCTCTCTGTCTCTTACTGACTGAATGACTCGACCCACAACTGACTTGGTTGACTGATTGACCACGTCTGTCACTCTCAGAGTGATTTCACTGACTCAAGCTTACCACTTTCTCGCTCTCGTTGTCGAGGGCCGAGGTAGCCTCGTCGAGGAGAAGGATCGGAGGGTTGTTGAGGATGGCCCGGGCGATGGCGATTCGCTGGGTGAAAGAGGGACGACGCGAACAGGGAAAGAGGGAGAGGAGGGTTCCGCCGTCAGCTACTTGAACATACAATACGGTACAATGTACTCCAGGAAAAAAACTTGAAACCGTCATGACGCAAGCAAAAATTCAAAACCAGGTACCTTGCGTAAGCATAAGGGCAAACTAAGTCGGAACTTCGTACGCTTCGTGTGAAAAGCGAATATGTACGTGCTAGAGTGTCCGTAGGAAACTCCGTCCAATTTTCCCACATCGCAGCATATGACCACACGATCTACAGTACTTCTGTTGACATGATTGGTAATCTTTCGACGCACCGTGTTTTATATTTTACTTTCCTTGGAAATCGGTCCAGGTGCGTGATATCTTAGGCAACCTGCCGTACTCGAGGTGTTTTGATGTTACCTGCTTCTGGCCCCCGGACAAGAGAGCGCTCTTCTCGCCCACGTCAGCATCGTAGCCCTCCTGCGGGGCACCGTAACATGACCAGACGACCAACCGGTACGGAGGCACGCACACCCGGGAATTGCCGATTGTGTGCATGCAGGACCCAACATGCCGAGCAAAACGACAAAACAAAGGCCAAGGGGTAAGTGGTAACGGGAGACATTAGTGAAGGGACAAATGACACCCGTGCACCACTGGCGTAACTTACGCGGACGGGATCTACGCTGAGTCGCATTTTGCGATCAGCTGCCCGTACCAGAAGTCTACCTCAATCCGATAACAAGATTACCAGGTGAAAGCTAATCAAAAAGAAAAGCGACGCACAAACAAATGGTTGTAACATTGTAACATCGCGCTTCAACTAGCCGCGGTACCTGCCGCAGGTGGACAGTAACGAACCTGGAATTCCATGATGAAGTCGTGGGCGTTGGCGGCCTTGGCAGCCTCCTGGATTCTGTCATCGCTTGCGCCGGGGTCCCCCTTGGCGATGTTTTCGCGGATCGTTCCCTGGAACAGTACCGGCTCCTGACCCACGTAGCCGATCTGAGCAGCAGGAGGATGAGGAGGAAGGGGAAAGAGCCCAGCAGAGAAACGAAAGGAAGAGGTCATGGATCGGTACAGACGAAAAGAGCGCTAGGCGCAGCCGAGGAGTTGGTGTAACTCAAACGTGCGTGGTCTTTGGGTGCGATAAGCTAGCTCTACACCACGTAAGCAGGTACAACAACACCGCCATCATCAACCACAAATGTACCCACAGCATGAACAAAAATAACAACAACAACAACAACAACAACACGCCGAGCGAGAAGCACAAAAGACTGCTACAATCAAAACAAACAACACATAATACTCATGTGCATGCACACCTGCGAGCGGAGCCACTTGACGTTGACCTCCTTGACGTCGCGGCCGTCGATCGTCACGCTTCCCTTAGATGCCTCGTAGAACCTCAGCAGCAGCCCCATGCAGGTGGACTTTCCCCCTCCGGAGGGCCCCACGAGCGCCACAGTCTCGCCCGCGGCCACGTCCAAGCAGAAGCCTTGGGGGTACTTGTCCGATCCGTAGATCTAGGGTTAGGATTAGGGTTAAGGTTTGGGAAATAGGGTTAGAGTTAGGTGACCCATGGAATTTACGAGCACATGCGGGCTATTGGGAATGTTCATCGATGCGGCGGTGTCTTGACATCTCCTTAACGTATACTACTCCGAGCAAGATTGTGTTGGTGCTCGGGGGCTTGAACCACCCTCACCGTGTCATTTTTCGTTGATTTGCCCGATCACGAAACTGAATGGATGTACAAGGTTTCCTTGGGAAAAATAGTCGGGGGCACGCGGAAAGTATCGGCGGCACGTGGGGGGTGACGTAGGGGACTCGCCTTGGTTTCAAGTGAAAACCTCGGCGTTGTTTGTTAAGCACATTCAGCATGTGGCAAGAAGAAATTGTCCAACATGGACACCGTGTACAGCAGTAGCAGCAGTAGCAACAACACCAACGACCAAGCTACAGAACAATCGGCGCCAGCTGCAGTACCACCAGCACCACCAGCAGTAGCAACCACCAACAATACCAACCAACCAACACCACCACCTCCATCACCACGAACCTGCATGTTAGGGCGGGAAGGGTAGGCGAAGAAGATGTTCTTAAACTCCACGGCCCCGTCGGTCGTGGCGGGCCTGGCTCCCTCCTCGGACAAGGGGTCGATGTTCAGGGGCTCGTCCGTGAGGCGGAAGATCTTTGCCGCCGCCTGTTCTCCTTCCCCGGCATCTTTCGCGTCAGAGCTGATCTGAAACACCAGAGAGACGAAGAGAAGAGGGGAGGGGGGGGACGTCAGAGGGCAGGGCCCTGGGTTTCGAAGCGGGAACATCTAAATCGGCGTGGAACATGTAGTGTTCGTAGCTGTCTTTCTTCACCTCCAGCACCAGAAACAACGACTGTTTCGCACACCGCCAGACATGCGCAGGCTGCTTCCTCTCCACAATACTATTTCTCCGAAGCATGGTGTCCCCCCACACTACCAACGTGAAGTACTCCCTCCCAGCAGTATCCCCCCCCCCGCCAGCAGTATTGTACCGTGGCACCGCTCACCTGTCCAACCCCGAAGGCTCCGAAGATAACCGCGAACATCGCCGTGAAGAAGTTCTTGTACCCGACCGTGCCGTCATCGACGAGCACTGCTCCCACGTAGAAGAGAAGCGCGAACACCCAGAAGAGGATGGCCTGGCTGTAGCCGAAAGCCGCTCCCGCGATCAGGCCGCGACGTCTGCGGGCGTCGAGGGAACTCTGGGGCGGGGCGGGGCGGGGCGGCGGGAAAAAACAAAGCACGTACGCGCAAAGGAGTTTCACAGGAGGTAAAGTGGGGCGTTCAAGCAACATGGAAGACAAGGCGAAAACACAAACACGTAACACGCACAGCAGTATCGCTGGAGAAAACGGATGTTGTTGGTGGTGTTGTTGTCTTCACATTGGAAATTGTTCCGGTCTCTGCTCAGAAAAGGTAGGGCTAAAAACAAAAAAACAAACATAAAAAAAACAAAAAACGTCCCGTGGGAATCTGTGTGACCCCGGCTGATGCGTCACACACATACTAGAGGAAGAGGGGTGTCGACTGGCACCAGAATAGACGGGAAGGAGCACACACACAGATGGTGGTCGCTTCTTCGATGCAAACCATTTTTTTTTTTTTGTCTTCACTTCAAATCAGCGCTCACAGCATTAGTGCTGTTTACTCCAACCCGTGGTCACACAGAAGAGCCCCTCTCTATCGTATGCATAGCAACAGAAAATAGTGGGTCAACGAGTCCCAGGTCTCGTTAGATGACAGATGTGATTTTAGATAGATGCATACCTCTGACGCCTGCTTGTAGTCCTGCGCGAGCTTCTCCTGCAAGTTGAAGGCAGTCACCGTGGTCATCCCCTGAAGGGAGGAGCTCAGCAGACCCGCGGCACCTCCGCCACCGTCAAGACCCTGTCAACAACAAAACAACAAAAAAGCGATTGTTTTCACCTCCGTCAGTACGGTCCTCTACTGGCCACACCGTTTCGTCGGCCAATCAGGACGACGCGCGGGGCATGCGGCAGAGCAGCAAAACGGTGTGTTTGAGCTAGCCTGGAGTCCGAACACATGTGAGTCGTGGATCAAAGTCAACCGAACATCCTGTTCTGGAGAAGCCGGCCGATCAAAAACAGTCCGTGCCGGCCGCGCACTCGCCTTGCGGCACACTTGCCATGCGGCGAACCATAGACGAAGTACAACGGTGTTCAATAAACGCAATAATTTTAATCAGGTAATCGTGTGTGTTTTATGTTGACTTATCGTGCATGTTGTACTTTGGGTTTGGGGACGACAAGGGCGAAAATACTGCCGAACAATGGAGGGGTAGAATCGTTGATATCAAAACACAAGGTAAAACACCCACGTCATTGTCACCGTAGCCTCCGGTAAGCATGGACATCTGCACAACTCCCGCGGCGGCGATCAAGGGGATCATGGCCATCGACAGCAGCCCTGCAGGGATAGGACGAGGCCAGGATGACATAAATGCGGAGAGTTTTGGGGTCGGATGGAATCTCCCGACAAATGAAACAGAGTGCTCGGCAGGGACTGGCCCACGATGGCCATTATAGCCCAGATATTCACACATACCAGGTACATCGATCACACTAAAAAAAGCACACTTCGCGCTTAGTTTAGTTGAATAGTACCTGCAGAGGTACTGACTGTATCGGAATCGTTCATATTCGTTTCTCGTTCTGTTCCATCGACTGGCGGGATCACCAAAACAACAACGACGCCAACAACATCGCCCCGGCACAGCCCAGGCTCTTCGCTGCTATCTCTCATCTCAGCTCTATCTCTCATCCAACCAATTGCTATTTGCCACCTCTTACTATCTCTTACCGATCTGCCAGGCGAAGACGAGACCGATGACGGTACCGATGGTCAGGGTCATCATGAGCTGGGTCGAGTGGGCGACGCTGCTCCCGGTCGATCTCCGCACCTGGGTAGGGGACACACCGTGAAGCATCCCCGGGTTTGCCATGAGAAACACATGTAATGTGTGTCTCGGGCGAGGATCGTACCTCTGAAGTAACTCAAGAGTCGGAGAGACGGCACCACCGTGTAATAGTAGCGCTTATCTGCAGCGTATTTCTCCACGAGTAGGAGGGTGCGAACACCAACCGGTACCTCTCAGGAAAGCCCTCGACGACATGTTTCCAAAACTACAGTAGTGGTGCCCCCCTAGTTGTTGAGAAATGCGCTATAAATAAACGCTGACACGGGGGAGCCATATGTCCGACATTTACGGTACTGGCACAGAATGGGGGGCGGCTTTTATATGCTCATCAATCACTTTGCATCAGCGCTCACACACAGCTTTTCTGCTGGACGAGAGCTCCAATCCGTGGTGGTGACTCACACAGAACGGTTCCTCTCCCCACCCCTCCCTCCTGTGCTGTTTGTCTTCGATTGTTTACTCGAGGAGAGTGCATGCAGCACTGTCTTCCCAAAAAAGCAAAAGATTTTTAGCAAATCTGCAAGCTAACAGGCCGCCGACCGTTCGTCCCGTACGAGCACGGTGTACGACGGGAGAAGGGGTTGATGCTGGTTATCGTGTGGGAGCCAACAATAGCCAGGGTACAAGCAAGATGCCAACCCCGGTTTTTCTACCACCGTTCATGACATGCGTCGCCTCCATATTTAATGCTAGCTAACGGAAGGCGCCCAAGTCAGTTGGACCAGGACGGATATTGGATGGCAAGGATTAGAGACCGGAACGAATTTAGACAACAGCAGCAGCAGCAGCAGCAGCAGCAGCAGCAGCAGCAAATGCGATGAAAACAGCAACAGCAACAACAACAACAACAACGACAACAACAACTCACCATGGAGGCTTCTGACTCAAGACGAGAGGTGAGGATGCCAACTGCGGAGGATTCCTTGTCGAACCACGAGATGTCGTGCCGCACCTAGGGGGGGGCGTCAAACGGGACCAAGAAACCGGGGGGTGGGGGTTAACCTGTGGTGCACTATCAATGTGGGGAAAGCTCGACATACGATATGAAGACAGAACGAGGTCGTGGTAGTGTCCCGAACACACGCGATATCGCCCCCCTCACGATAACGCTCACACACATGGCTCGTCACGCGTGCGTCGCAATCTAGATGCCTCCCATCATCGAGGTGCCACGATCCAACTAATCTCTCCGCATCAGGCACATGGAAGCGCACACACACCGGAAGTGACATAAACGCTATACGCCCCCCCCCCCCCCCCCCCCCCCCAAAGGAAGGGGGGTGTCAATATAAATATAGTCCGGCAAAAAAAAAAGATAACCCCCCCCCCCCCCCCCCCCGGGGGGG